GGCGGTGGCTCACTGATGTTTTTTGGCTGTGAAAGCTCTAAAGACACAGGAAATCTTGTCAAAATTGATGGCAGCATAAATAAATGCAGCATGTTATCAGAAAATGCTGACACACCTTTTGCATTCTTCTGCACGAAAGCTGCGCATGGGATGCTCTTGGACTTTCCAGCATGACAATGATTCTAAGCACAAGGCCACGTTGACCCTCCAGTGGTTACAGCAGAAAAAGGTGAAGGTTCTGGAGGGCCCATAATGGTCTCCTGACCCTAATATCATTGAGCCACTCTGGGGAGACCTCAAACATACAGTTCATGCAAGACGACCAAAGACTTTGTGTGACCTGGAGGCATTTTACCAAGACGAATGGACAGTTATACCACCTGCAAGAATTCGGGGCCTCATAGACAACTATTACAAAAGACTTAAAACACAAGATATAAGGTGAGCGCAGATAGTATGGTAGCTGCTAGCACAAAAGGCAAGGTAACAAACCCACAGTAATCAATTCAAATGGAAGTGCAGCGCTAAAGCATACGTGACAAATGCTTATGTGAATAGAATTGTTCATACAATAAAAACGTCTCAGATCATATAAAATCATAGAATCATAAAAAATCAAAATAATCTGAACATAAATAGTGAATATAAATAGTAAACAACAAGGTAAGTGAGCGCTAAAATCAAAATAGTAAGATTAAAATAAATAATTAAAATAAAATAAACCAGCAGCTGAACACCAAAAGGCACCATATAAAACCTTCAAAATGGTAAAAATAAAATAAGGTGCAGCGCTAAAATGATCCGCTAAGTCACAAAAACACATTATGTTCAAACATTTTTATATAAATGCAATATAATCACATAAAATCGGTGACAAGGTGAAAATAAACTGTCACTGATAGGTGACTGATAGGTGTTGGGCACTTAAAACCAAATACAGTCCAAAGTGTGAGTGCAATTAAGATCCTAGATGATCTTCAAAAATCCAGTGGCTTGATCCGTGAATGAGGTGATAACATATGTAAAGATTGCGCACTCACCAGATACGCAATCACAATGCGCATTAAGAGTTGGTAACCTCAGGACATCAGAAGATCCTTATGTAGGTCTGGTCAGGTCTGGTCATATACCCCTCACCACTTGGTAGTGCTGCCACAGTTGGAAGTAGCCACTTACACATCCACCCTGAGAACATCCGAGCAAGGATCTGTGACTTCCCCGGTATTGGGGCCCCGGGACTGATACTAGTCTGTCACTTGTGACATAAATGAATATAAATAGTCCGTGGCACTACAGGTCACAGAAGTGCCAAGCGATACCTGTGTGCTTTTTAGCAATATTAGTGATTATACATAGTCCGTGGCACTGCAGGTCACAGCAATGCTCGGTGATCGTGGAACTACAAGATGCAGCAATACCAGCTGGGATGCTCGAGAGTGCTTATGATCCAACATGGGAATCCCCCCACCTTATATGGATGTGCACTCATCAGAATGCTACTTGTATAATCACTTTAATGCTGATCCTTATGGGGGAGTCTCAGGAAGCCATAAATAGGGAACTTCTCCAGGGTCAGGGCTATGCAAAGCCAGCAAAGGATCCTCCTAGGGGGAGAAGCTCACCACAGGAGCCGAAGGTATAACAATACAGTGTAGTATTTATTGTAAATAGTTAAACGTAATCCACGTGGATACAGCAAAGAGTTAAATGTATAAAAACATACCAGCTGTGGTGGCGTGACGTCAGCACGTAAGGCTGACCCACGCGTTTCGTGCGCATGCACATCTTCAGGGGCATGCATACTTTTTTTATTACAAAAACTGCACTCTGTCATTGATGCTAAAGGGGGCAGACTTTTGAACAGGGGTCATTTCATTGGTTTACTAGTTGCCATGTTTTGTTTTATGATTGTACCACTCTGTTATGACCTATAGTTACAGAATATGAATCCCATAAGAAAAAAAAGAAATATGTTTTGCCTGCTCACTCATGATTACTTTACAAATGGTACTTACTCTGTATTACCAATCCTCCAAAGGTATGCAACGTTTGAGCACAGCTGAATATAATTTCAATAATAATTATTTTTTTCTAATAAATATATTTTATTATGATAAAAGTATAATTATAATGTTTCGCATAATTATAATTTTATAAAGAGAAATGTACAGTTTTTAGAGTAAAACATCTTTTTATCTCCAGCTATCTATCTACTTATGTACTTGCATTTAAAAATGAACAAGCCACTTGCAATAAAACTATTTCCCTTCAGCACAGTGTCAAGCCTCACAGCACCAAATTATTTCTAAATGTCCAATAGTGGTTAATTAAGAAATGCAGAGAAGGCTTAATAACCTGACAGGTACATTCACAGTGTACATTCTGGAAAGTCCCATTGTTTAATGTTCCTGCTCCATCCGCACACTTCTGTCATCTGCTGCCACCAACATCTTCCTTAAGGGTGCCGTCACACTTCTACAGTAAAGCACACTGTCTCACCTCAGGGAATCTGAAGCTTTAGTCCAATATCCATCTTAGTCAATTGGCGTGGTTCACATCAATGCACAGAAATGCCATTCCTTTTTTTACAAATTCTTTCCAGGTGAATTTGTGTATATTCATCCATCAATTGAATGGAAATGCACTAATGTGCATATATAGTGTGTTATAGAAGTGTTTTCTCTGCAGGAAGTCCAGTTTAATATGTAAGTGGGTTTTTTTTTAATGTACTAACAATATGACTGAGACAAACCACCTGTAGAAATAATACATCTAAACACAACATAATTCATGTCAAAATGTCAAAATTGGTACATGGTGCTTGAGTCTAGCTATATTGCCTATCTCAATTTTTTAGTGTCTTATTACTACACTTTATTTTTTCTTATCTTATAATGAACCTAAGCTGCAAAAGCACATTTACACAATCCCTCGATCATCTTTGTAGCTATATGCATTCTGGAGAAATCCATCTTCAAATTTAGCTTTCTGCTCTATTATTGTTTGTTGTACCAGAATTTTGGCAGCCTGCTAGTCCTCTAGTCTAAATACACAGCTTAGAGCTGATACTCACGATAAGTTTTTTTTCATTCAACCCTAAGGGGCTGAACAAAACCCTAGACATATCGCTGTACTAACGCAAGCGATGTTAGTGCAGTGGCCTCCCCCGCTGTGCTATTGGGTTCTGACAGGGGAACCGCTCCCACCAGGACTCAATGATCAGCACTTGCAGGTGTTGGCTGTGAGCGCTGATCAGATAGCAGTTGGCTGCTGGTTTTCCAGCAAGTTTGTTTGACAAAAGCCAGTCATGGGACAGGCTTTTGTTGGAGAGGCAGCTGTACATGTGGGTCAACTGTACTGTCTGATTTTGACTGATATTTAGCCCATGTGTACCTGGCTTTAGGGCTCAAGCACACTGGGCATTTAGCTCCGGGACATGGGGTTCAAACCTTTAGCCTTTGTCAGAGAGCAGAGGTGCACTGTCCAGCCTTGCTGCCGGCAGCCTGTCAAATTCTATGAGTCTGACAGCCGCTGTGCATCTAGAGGTATATATGTTTATAGCAATATGTGATGAACACAAGCAGTCTGCATTCCAGGCTGTCAGGAATGGACTTGCCAATAATCGTGGGACTCACCTGCCTTGTGGGCTGCAGTACCAGGGCTGGCCAGCGGGTGCTCTCAGCAATCAGAGACTCACAACTGCAATCAGCCAAACACCTGAAGCTGATTGCAGGGGTTGTATTTAAGGAATGGCCAGACTCACAGTCAGGGCCTTGGTGTGTGGTTTTCCATGGGCCCCTGTACCTTGTATCCTGTATTCCTGTTCCTGTCTGACTTGTTGCCGACCCTGCCTGATCCTGACCTCTGCTGACTTCTCCTGCTTGATCTCTGGCTTGTGACCCTGACCATTCTCTGCCTGACCCTCTGTACCGCGCTGCCCGTGAGTTACTGAACCCAGCTTGTGACCCCAACCACTCTCCTGCCTGTTCCTGGTACTTTGTTTGCCCGTTTGCCACTGACCCGGCCTGCCTGACTACTCTTTGTATTGTATGTATTGTTATCGGTGGGTGGTTTGGTTTAGTTTGTTTGCACTGTGTTTATGTTTAGTTTTGCACTGCGTTTTGTATTGTTAGTCTTAATAAATTATATTGTTTATACCATATCTGAAGCCTGCATTTCCCTGTGTCAGTCCACACACCTCTGTCATACCTGGAGCCCTGACATTGGCATTCGTGAGAAGTACTGCTGAGTGAACCTCCCAGACCTGTCCTGCCATAACAGCTGTCAGACTATCATAGAGTTTTACTAGCTGCCGGCAGTGGGGCAGAACATCACACCTGTGCCCTTCATTTGCAGCTAAACACTGGGAACCCATGCAGTAGGGCTAAAGCCCCAATGCATGAGGCCTCAGAATAACAACTGAAGTCCTACTTAGGTTTTTGCTATGATCTCAGAAGATGTTAGAATGAGTTACTTTACAGTATAAGCACCTAGATAGGTCAGCAATGGCTTGTTTTAAAGCCTTGTTGCTGTTTGTTAGGAATATGTAATCATTTAAATTTGGACCATGGAGAAAACAAAGATTCTGCATTACAGTGGGACTGCCCTGCACTGCATGGGTTAAATGTTTGTTTAGGTCTAGTTGACAAGGAAAAGCACTTTTACTCACTGCATCCTCTCCTCATGCAGGCTCCCTCTGCACTGCTGCACTGGTCCCAACAGCTTCTTTTTCCTTAGGTCTTCTGATGTCATCCAGTACAATACAGGACCCATAGCCTTGCACTGGACTGAACACAGCAAGGGACAGTCCACTGCTGGAGCTTAGAGGAGTACAGGAGAGCACCGGCTACTGGGGAGAGTAGGTTTCAGGTAAGTATAACAGTTTTTTCTGGTACACTAGCCCTTAATGAACATTTAATCCTTTCAGTGTGGGTGAAGCCCCACTGCAAAGGAAGATCTTTCTTTTCCTGAAGATAAGGATTAAAATCGATAGGCTGGGCCCAGACAATGGTGTATTTAGGTTTTGTGCTGCCCTAGGCAACGCAAAAATTGGCGCCCCCACGCAGAGAGAGCCTGACATTGACCAACAACACCCTTGACTCCCACCCAAGAGAGCCTTCCACTACCACTGCCCCCGATACACCAGCCACTATCCCCCATGGTGAGAGAGAGAAAGACACTCAACTTCACAGTTCTGGAAATCCTCGGGAACAAGAGTTGGGCTGTGCATACAATGTTATAAAAACCCGCCACCTCTCTTGGAACCCATCAGAGAAAGACACTCACCTTCACAGCTCCGGAAACGGCTGGGAACAAGAGTTGGGCTGTGCATACAACGTCATGAATACCCGCCACCTCTCTTGGAACCCACCAGAGAAAGACACTCACCTTCACAGCTCTGGAAATCCCCGGGAACAAGAGTCGGGCTGTGCATACACTGTCATGAAACCCGCCACCTCTCTTGGAACCTCTAGTTCCCATGCCGCGTGTATCCCTTCTTCCGTCTCTTTTTTCCGAGGGGCAGTGCTGCCCCCCTGAAAAATGCTGCCCTAGGCAAATGCTTTGTTAGCCTTGTGGTAAATTCACCACTGGGCACAGATGCACTTTAAAGAATATGTGAACCCTCACCTGGTAAAACAACCTATGCAGTTTAAAATAAAAATGAAAAGCAAAACATCTGTGTATAGATATAAAAAAAATATAAAAAATGTTTTCCCCTGTTTTATAAGTGAACACTTACCCTCTGTTCTCATCTGCATAAGGAGCTCAGGGGAGGGGGGTAGAAACAGCAGAACACTGATCTTCCCAGTGAATGTCAGTGCAGGGCCCCCCCTGCACTGACATGTCTGGACAAGTCTGATCATTGGAGGAAAGCAGACTGAATTCTCAGCACAGCTAGAGAACTGACCACGCTGTGCTCGCATGTCTAGTGTGATCAGTTTTAATAAGAAAGGAGGACTGACAGGAACACACAAAGGAAACAATACAAAGAGAACATGATATTTTTTTCATACAAGTACATGGTACAGCAGGCACATATCAGGAATATGAAATGTTGGGTTTGCATATCCTTTAAACCTAATTAACCCAAATTAAAGGGGAACTAAACTCACATATACTACACAGTCTTTCTTTGTTCCTTCCCCTCTCTCAATATGAAATGGTGGGTTTACACATTCTTAAACCATAGCCCCCATGCACACGGGACGTTTTGACAACGCTGGTAACGTTAGCTGTGTAAAGTCACATTAAAAATATGAGTTTTTTAAGTGTTTTTGCATTAATATTTAGCGGCGTTTTGCCGTGATTAGCATCGTTTTCCAGCGTCTTTCTGCGTTTGCATTTTTTTAACATTCTTAGTGTTTTTTTTCTACCAAAAAAACACATTTTTTTCAGAAACAAAAAAACTCCAAAAACGCCAGTTTGCAGCATTTTACCATGTTTTGCTGCGTTTTTCAGCGTTAGAACGTTTTTTACAGCTAAAAAACTCTACTAATCTTGTTTTTTTTTCTGCCAAAAAACATCCTAGCCAAAAAACGTTGATTACAGCCTATGTGTGCATGGACACATAGGATAACATGCTGGGGCGTTTATTGACTGCAGAAAAAAAGTCAAACGCCAAAAACAACAGCTGTAAAAACGTCAAGTGTGTATGAGGGCTTATCCATCTGCCTTCTCCTTCAGTCTTGGCTTTTTTCTCTCTGCTATATACCTTATGTATCTCTTCTGCGTTTTACACTGCCGGTTACTGAATTAAATTAGCACCCCTATAATTTGCCCCACCCGCTGCAACTGCCATTTTTGCAGTACAGCTTGGTCTTTGTACAAATTTAGTGAAAAATATGAAGACATGAAAAAAAATAAATTAATCCATATACTTTTGCATATATTAACTGCTGTTAAAATGCATTTTTTTTTTTTATGTATTGAATACATTTTCTGTTTTTAGTACAGCTGCATTGTTTGCTGGTTAGCAGTAGTAGCTCAGTTATAGCCTGGAATAGATTTTTTTTTTTTTAATTTCAATAATTTTTATTGAATTTTTCAAGGATAAACATGGGTAAACAGGGGAAAAACAGGAAAAGGGTAAATGGTTCAGTCATACAATATTACAATAGACAAAATAAGACTGATCTCTTTGTTGTAATTGCGTTTTTGGATGGATGAGGTGTTGGTCTTGTTTTAGCAATATCATCAGAGGTATTCGCGTATATTTGATGAACTTTTTTGGTGAGATTTCGGAAGTTATTGGGGGGGGGGTATTGGAGGGGAGGTAGGGGAGGATAGGAAGGAGGGGGGAAGGATCTAACTGGGAGATTGAGGAGGTACCAGTCTTGGTATGGAATATGATTTTGTCTCTTAAAATGTCATCAGTGTTGTATAGAACATTTTGGGTGTTTTAACCATCGGGTCCACTGGGTGTCTGGAATGGATTTTTAAAGATTATGCATCTCATTAGTAACATCACTGGCCCCAAGTAAAGTGGTAGGCCAATGTACTGCCTAGATTGCCGGTGCTGTTTACAATATGGCTGCATAAATGGATCACAAGAAAAAAATACAATGTAGGCTATCGCTGAAATATTCTATTAACACTTTAATATCTTGGTTTAAAGGGAGTAGCGGACCAGACTGTTGTACTGCACTGAAGTATTCTCAAGAGGCTGATATTTTAATCAACCTTGATGATTATCTCCGGAACATATTGTTAAGCTGTAGGTCACAAAGGTTAATTGGATGGCAATACCTCAAGATGACTTAAAAGGTGGGATATGGTAACCTATTGTGAATCTGCAAAGAGTTAATAACATTGCTGTAATGATCCAGACATGTGGGCCTCCCTGTATTCCTTTTATTAAACCCTTATCTCATGTTTAGAGAGGCTCACTCACCAAACCACAGCAGCAATGATCAGTTATCGCGGATGCTGCAGCAATCCATATCACCATTAACAAGTGCTTAATTTCTCATCTTGATTATCTTGTTTGCATTAGTTGGAATTAAACCCTAGAATCCCCACTGGAGGGATTCCAGTTTAATCAGTCAGGGAAAAGTTCCATCACCTCATTTATATTAACGGTAACATTTTTAGCTCTATTTGTTAAAACCTTTTAGCTGTCAAAAAAAGAATCAAATACCAATCACAGTCAGTGAAAAGTGATCAAGTAAGAGACATGCTAGGAAAGGGGTCAGCAACAGGTTGATCATGATCTGCCCATTGATGTGGTGAGCAGATTGCCATCCTGCTGGTCACCACCTCTTAGACCACAGATCAGTGCGGCGGTAGGTATAGCAGAGCCAAAGGAAGTCCAAAGGCTCCTTGTCTGCTCATTCAGACAAGGTTAAGGGGATACCTAGGAGGCAGGGGCGGACTGACCATTTGGAAACTCGGGCACTGCCTGAGGGCCCCATGAAATGCCCTGGTACCTTTTTCATAGGCTTTTCTGAGTTTGGGCAAGGACACAGGGGCCCCATGATCCCCTATTGCCAAGGGGCCCCATGAGTTGTCAGTCCGCCCCTGCTAGGAGGACTTATTTATTTATTACAGATACTTATATAGTGCCGTCAATTGCTGACCATTCGAGCACTCGGGCACTGCCTGAGGGCCCGGGGTCAGCAGGGGGCCCCAGGAGATTCCCCGGGTACTTTTTATAGGCTTGTTTGGGTGTGGTTTGAGTGTGGACGAGGACACAGGGGCCCCATGATCCCCTATTGCCCGGGGGCCCCATGAGTTGTCAGTCCACCCCTGCTTGGAATTGTGCATTATATATTACTGATCCCTAACCTCTTCAAACCTTCCTCATTTTTTGCTTGGACCTTGCTAGGTTATCTCCCAAAAAAAGGAAACAAAAGTGCTGCACTCTGTCAATCTGCTCTATGCTGTTCAAGTAAATCTCCACCTTTCCAGGTTCCCTAACCCTGCTTTAGTCTCTATCCAAATTAAATATACAGGAAATTACAGGTTAGAACCTATGAAACCTGGAATATCCTGTACCCTTTGCAAGTTATTTTTATTTTCTATTTTAAAAAAAAAAGAACGTTTTACTGTCTAAACAATGTTGCTATACCCTAGGGCAGTGTATAATGACCCAATTGCCACTGCTTGCTTACAGAACATTATCTGGGCCATGGATATATTGGGTAATTGATCCTTTCTAAAATATACACATATATGATACTATAGCAATCATTTGACTTCTGTGTGAGGAAACATACACTGCTAGTGATCCCTTGAGACCATGGCTGTGAAAACAATTATCTTGAAAAAAGTGAAGGCACTCATGCAGAAAAGGTTTTCATTGCTTCTACAGGTCTGCAGAAGATCATCTTTTTTACCTGACAATCCGGGCAAGATGCCCTTAGAACTGCACAGAGCTTTCTGCATAGACATTGCATAGAATGTTCCTTTCTGCTTAGTAAATGTCCTGACAGCTAAGACTAAAATGCTGCAGCTCTTTTTACCCATTAGGGCCTGTGTCGACGGGCTTTCGTTTCCATCAAACAGGTTTTGCATTGCCATAAAATCCTTGAAGCAGGTCTAAAGCAAGTTAGAAGGAAGTCAACAGCAGGTTAAAGAGGAGCTTCACCCAAAACGGGGAGTTCCACTTTAAGCCCCCCCTCTCCCCCTCCCCACACACACATGCACTTCTACCTAATTTGGCATGTCTTTTTTTTATTTGGAGAGGGGAGCGGGTACCTGTCCAAACTAAAAAAAAAATTAAAAAGACCTAGTTTTGACAGGTACCCGCTCCCACTTCTGCTTGAATTGCCTTGGCAATCCAGGCTGAAGTTCTCCTCTCCCCCTTCCTCCCCGCAGTCTTCTGGGACCTGTGACACTTCCAGAAGACTGCGGGACCCATTCTCAAAGTGCAATGCTGCTTGTGCATGCGCAGTGGGCAGCCGGCTGTGAAGCTATCACAACCAGGTACCCACACTTAAGAACCCGGCACTGGGAACCCGAAGGCTAGTGAAGAATTAGCCTGGGCAAGGGCAGCGCTGGATCCATGGACACGTAAGTGTCCTATTATTAAAAGTCAGCAGCTACAGGAGTTGTAGCTGCTAGCTTTTATTTTTTTGTTACAGAGTGGTGAACCACTTTAAATGCATCAGCAAAGTCAGAATTATCTCAGTAGTATCTCAAACTGATTGCATCTACACTAGTTGCCTGTTAACCAAGGCAAGAAAATATGTTAAATGCAAACATAGCGGCAAAACTCACTGAAGTCTATGGAAGATGAATCTTTTCTTTTTATATGGTCTGGTTAATAACACACCTCCTGTATTAGTGAGACACCACTCTGGAGAAATGAGCCAGGACACAGAAAAGAGCAGCAGAATAATCAGTCTGGTAGGAATGAGAGTGTTACATATATTAGCAGATTTGAATACAATAATAAATTGAAGCCAAACCCCAGCTAATACTTTATAATCAGTTACAGCATGCAGTTTTTTTTTCCTTTTGGGATAAAGGTTTTAGATGAGTAAATAAAATCTGATT